TGAAGGCTTCACTGCTAGGGTGCACCTCCAGGCACCCTAGGGTGCACCTCCAGGCACTGGGATCTGGGTTGTGCTAGCCTACTGGGTCTCAGCCAGCAGCGTCACGTAGGCTAGGCACTGCTCACCGATCCCGCTTGAGAGGGGGATATGTCACTGAAGTCACTACAGCGCCCTTTTCCGGCAAGTCTGCCCAGTCCCAGAATGTCCTCTGTTGGAGCCTCGTAGACCGTGGAAGAGTCCCCATTTCCCTCACTCACCGCAGGTTGATGCACAGCTCCCCACCTGTCCCGCTCTCAACTCTGTTCACCGATTCCCATTCTCAGAGCTTTCACACGCCTCTCTCCCTGCCGAGCCGATTCAGACGCAGCAGCAGCAGCAGGAAACCCAAATCACGGCCTCCAATGGCATGGGCTCCAGCTTCCACGCTGAGGCTTTATCTGTTCCTGTTATAGCACCAGGATTGCATTCCCAATTGGTTTCTCTCAGCCCAGTTGTTTTCTGGGTCAGCAGGGTATATCTCCTCTTGCTTAGGATTCCTCACTCTGCACCATTCCTGGATTCTAGGCTGGGTCTCTCAGAGAGCCTCCGTAGCTGCTGCTATCTGTCCGCCATGTTCTCCCGGAAGCCGAGTTATCATTTCTGATCTAATTACCTTTACAGTCTCATACAGTTGTTTCTTTACGTCAGTTGTTATCCTCTCAGAGATTTCAGGAGTGTGACTTCCATTTTCTTTTTCTTTTTTTTTTTTTTTTGTTAGGTGGAATCTTTTATTGACATTTAATTATTTGTCTTCTGGTTTGTTGAAGCAGTAAGTCAGGCAGCATTTGCCACAATAATGTCTATCAAAGTGGCTCACCATAAAAACTCCAGCACCACATTCATCTGAGGGGCACTCTTGACGAAGACAACCAATTTTGCCATTTTCATCCACCATATAGTATTTTAGAACTGCCAACTTGAAGCTTCTTTCTCTTATGCTTACTCTTTTTGGGAGTGGTGTAAGACTTCTTTCTTTTCTTAGCACCACCATGGAATCTCAGCACAAGATGAAGAGTGGTCTCCTTTTGAATGTTGTAATCAGACAAAGTGCATCCATCTTCCAGTTACCAGCAAAGATCAGCCTTTGTTGATCAGGAGGAATTCCTTCCTTATCCTGGATCTTGGCCTTTACATTTTCTACAGTGTCTGAAGGTTCAGCCTTGAGGGTGATGGTCTTTCCTGTAAGGGTTTTATGAAAATCTGCATCCTGGCAGCAGTTCCACCAGTGATGGCAGATCCAAAAAAGCATGACTTCCATTTTCTTCCATGACTGTAGCTCTCAGACTTGTTCCTTGTGGGCTGGAGATCTGAGATTGCCTTTTACTGCTTCGTCTTGGCATTTTCCTGAGTTGACAAGCTGGTTGTGGGGTCCCAGGTGCTTCCCACATTGGCTGGCCCTCCACAGTGTAGGTTTCTCTGAACCCAGATTCCCAGGGAGGTAGTAGGACATGGGATGGGCTTCTCCAGACCCATGTGGATACATTGAGGTTTCCCAGTGGCCATGGGTGCATGGTGGCAGGGCTGCTTTTTCTCTTGGCCTACATGGCTACACTGGGAATCCCTTGATGGTGGCAGGCACATGGGACCATCTTTATCTATTTCTCCAAGCCTGTGCTGGCTGCCTGCAGAAAGCAAGCATCTTGGATGATGGCCTGCGGGCCACAGGGCATATCTAGCTCTTTCTCCCAGCCTGTGCTGATTGCCTGAGGGAAGCAGGTGTCCTGTTGTGGTGGGCATGCAGGAATGGGTCTGGCTGTTTCCTCCTGCCCATGCTTGTGATTTTTTTTAAACTCAGCATTATATTGTGAATTTTATGCCATTAAGTGGTCACTAAACCAATGATATTTAATGAATGTAATTGCCACTTTAGGCATTTAACTTGTTATTAGTGTTATTTTACCTCTCTGAATACTTGCACAGATTCAAGTTTATTTCCTGTGTGTCCTCTGTGTGTGTGTGTGTGTGTGTGTGTGTGTGTGTGTGTGTGGTACACATTACTCCTGATACCTGTTCCTTCACAGCTCCCTGTGATAAAGGGGGAATTTCACTGGCATCTGTTCCTTGTTTGGCTCTATAATAAACCCTTTATATGACAGAGTAGGAATTGGCCTCCTGTCACAGATGAGGAGGTTTTACTCCAAATTCCTGACTGTGCTGTCAGAATATGACTGGGATCAAGTCTGTGGTTTTTACAAGTTTTCTTCCCTTATCTGCATGGTGAATATTTTGTGTTTTCTACCCTGAGCTCTAAAAATCTATGTTTCTAATGTTTTAAAAGCCTAGCTTTACTTTCTAAGCCTGAGGAGAACTTTGGAAGGCCAATATTAGTGAGATGTCTCTCCCAGTAGCTGGAGTATATTGAAGAGTGAATAAAAATCTGGCTGACATCAAAGCAAAAACAAGCACAGAAGGTGATATAATTATCTACACAAAATTTTCCAGTGGTTTTATGGGGAAAAAGCCTATAAGCAAAGCCAGAGGGCAAATGTTTAACTGGAAAATATTATTTAAAATATATTATTACTGAAGGTTACTGTAAATTTTTTGAAAAATTAGTAAGAAAGATGTGAATATCTAAATTGAAAAGTGGACAAAGGCCATGAGCAGGAGATTTACAGAAGGAAAATATAGGTTAACAAGAGAACTAAAAGTGATGTCCAGACTTCTGGTGAGCACTGTCAAAGACAGGAATGAAATGTGTAATCTATTAATTGGTGATTTCTTACTGTTTTTTTTTTTTTTTGTAGTTCTGTATTACTTGTACCCTTACACCGCTTTGTTTTGTTTTGTTTTTTTCTCTTTTTCCTTTTAAATAAAAATTTTTAAAAAAGACAGAATGAAATGTCATTTTCTCCCGCTCACAGTGGGAAAGTCCTGAAGGTAAAGGTCTGAAGGATCTGAAGGATCTTATGCATGGTCATGGGAGGGCACACTGGTCTGACCTCTGGCATCTACACTGAAAATGGAGAGCCTGTTCACGTTGAAGAATCAGGAGTAGGCACATAGCTGTGCCAGGACATGGATGTGAGTGTAAACATACTGCCATATGCACACAGACGCATTGCCTGGGCGCGAAAACTTGGTAACCAAAGTGTCTGTCAGTGGCCTGTTGACTAAATAAATCCTCAACGTGATGTATAATAGTCCATTATTTTAGATAATGACATTCATCTGTACTCTTGAAGACATGAAAAGATGTTCAAGTGGAGGAAAACCATGATTTATGTAGACTATGATCCCTCTTCAGGGTAGAAGTTGTGTAAAAATAATAAGAAAGATTTATAACAGCTTATAGCAGTGACAATGAATGATGAAGGGATGGTGGATTTTTATTTCTGTTTTCATTTTTTACATTTATTTTTTGTGACATCTATATTCACGTTCTACTGGGAACATGTAAAGATCCATTTTGGAATATCTTTGCCCTTTCCAGTAGCCTGGAAGGTCTACCTTAAGCACCTTTAAAAAGCAGAAGAAAGAGATATGAGTTTCACCCTACCGGATGTGATCCCCGGTATACATAGAAAAGCACCAGGACCAGGCACTGAGGGCAGGTGCGGGTTGATGGCCAGAGTGCTGCGTGGCAGCGCGCAGTGTGTGTGTGAGTGCTGACTCAAGTTGCAGGGAGGGAGCTTTCATTCCGGGACTCAGTAGCCAGCCCCGTGCTCTTAGAGAGTGAGCAAGTTCTGCTGTGATGAGGCTCCGATGCTGGGGTGGAGGGAGTGAGAGTGGGGCCTCAGAGCCCGGCTCCAGATACATGGAGGATGCGTATCGTGATGGAAGGTGAATCTGATTCGCTGATGGCCCCTCACATGTGGGCCACATTTAACATTCTCCAGCCGTCCTTTTTTAAAATTTTCTGTAGTGCTGGGGTCAAACCCAGGGCCTGGTGCATGCTGCTTGTCAAGCCCTCCATGCGGGGCCACACTCCCAGCCCCTCCCCAGTGGTCCTTAAAATAAATAGCTTTAAAGCTGCCTCCCCAAGTCCAGGCTACAGTCACAGCTCACGTGTTGCATTTGGTTGTTTTATCTCTTTCCTTCCAAATTCTAGAGCAACCTCCTTGACCTTTGTTTTGTCTGCTATTCATGATGTTAGCTGATCTGAAATGTTCAGGCCCACTTTCTTGAAGAATGTTCATCTTCTACAGTAGCCTGGTTGCTTCCTCATGGTCAAATTCCAATCAAACATTTTTGGTTGGAATGCCCCATAAGTTGTTTTTTAAAAATTTTTTATCACTATAGGGGGCGTCTCATGGCCTGTTGCCCCACTACTAGGCAGACTAGCTATTTTTTGATGAGGAAATTTTAACTCATAGAAGAAAAGTCAAGGCTACTGACCATTTCTCATATTGGATTTTTACCCCTTTCATGAGTTCAAAGAAAATGCTTCCTATGCCAAAAAGGAAACAGCAAGTACTTCACGATTTACTGAAACTTTAAAATCTATCCTTTTTTTAAATAGAGAAAACATCACTTTTTGTTTATGATTCTTTGTCCCTACTTTTAGGCAGGCAGGTTGGTCATTAGACATGGTTGTCTATTAGTTGCTGCTCAGGTGGGCTCATATTGACAGAGTCCAGTGTGTAAGGCGACTTTCTTTTCATGCCATTACAAGCAAGGCACAGACATGATCTGCCGCAGCACCAGCTGCCTGGTTTGTAGTAGCTAAGGTTGTATTTCTCCTGCAGATCAGGAAATGTGGTCTTAAGACAGTTGGTGCTGTTTCTGGAATGTCTTTTCAGTGTATTCTTTTTGATTTTTTGGTTTTGTTTTATTTTCAAGCCTCCTACCAGGAAATAAAAAAATCTACAATTTTCCCTCTCCTCGAGAGCCGTCCCTGCTGCTGGTGGCTTTGGGCTGGGGACAGCCCTCCCGGAGTTCCCTTGCTCTGCTGTGGCCAAGAGTGAACTCATGCTCTCTTGAAAACACCAGTAACCTGGAGGTGTGAACTGTCTTTGCAGGGCCTCTTTCATGACCAAAACCGTGCCTTGTGGAAATGAGCTTCACAAGTTCCTCATCTGGGACACGGCTGGGCAGGAGCGGGTGAGTACTGCGTGCTGGCTTCGGCTGCTGCAGGCTCCTTGGTGCTGGGCAAGACCTTGGTGGCAGAGAGGACTGAAACCTAGTCTAAAGTGGTCTAAGCAGCATGTCTAAGAAGCATGTCTGCTTCTGCTCTGTGGAGATCTAAGGGAGGCCTATGGCGAGACAGGGCTGAGCTCCAGGCCCCACCCACCCTGCAGCAGTGCCCATCCGCCTTGGCTTCCTAGCCATTGAGTTAGGGTTGGTGGCAGCTTCATTGGCTTTGCCTCCCTCCCTCCTTTTCCGAGCACAGCAAGGTTGGCCCCATAAACCTTGCAGACCTCATCCTACCACCTTAGCATCCCTCAGAGGAGAGGAGAGCATAACACCTGTCTGCAGCCTGAGTTCTGACCCACTGGGTTTGGGTCCCTCACTTACCCTGTCTTCAACGCAGTGCAGCCTTCCAGGACCTAGTGCCCCAAATGGCAGAGCTGGTGACTCACTTGCCATCGGGGAGGCTAACACCAGCTCCACCTGAACCCTGCTGGCCAGAAGCCAAGCCAGCTTCGTTCCCTAAGGGAAACTTGGCTTCTCTTACCGGAAAGTGGGGGGTTGGATGCTGGGTCACCAGAAACAGCAGATGAGTTTCCTCTTATACTAGTTCTGTTTATTTATTGAAAATACTGATAGAGAAGACTGTGTATTGAGCAGCTCATGCCTTCAGATTTCCAAAAGGGAATCAATCCTGAGAGAGGAGGACATTTTCGTGCTAAGCCCAGTGCACACTGTCAAGAGCCTAGAGGGCTGGTGGGTAAAGGAGGGAAGTCACCCAGCACCATGTCTGCACCAGAGCTTTCAGCCCAAGGGCTCTCAGCAGAGCTGATGGTTGTGGAGAACAGGTGGCACTTTCTCCTGTTGGAGTCCACGTGCCTCCCTCTCTGCCTGCCCTAGGCACAGTGGCTCCTCTCACCTCCCACCTCCTCACTGCCGCTCGCTCGGCATGTGCAGTACCCACTCCTCACTGAGTCATCCTGTCTATTGTCCAAAAGGAAGAATCTGGGGTTCAGGATCATCTAGAATATTCACTGCCTACTCTTTATAGAACAAAAGTTAATTTATACGGCTTTCATTTTTTACAATATCCATTGGTAAAAGTAAAGTTCCGGGATTTGTGGGTCAAGGCATTTAGAAGAATTTTTTTAAATGGGCTGAATCTTGTGGCCTGCAAATACTCGCCTCCTAGAGGCCCCCTCCCCCGGCTGCTAAACCAGAGCGCAGGCTGCACGCGGGGCAGCTGCCTGGCCTGTCACTGCTGGCAGCTCGGGGTCCTCTCTTCTCAAGCCCGAGTACCCCTTGTGTTTGGTCTGTTACTCTTATGTTTTGAGTTTGTTAAGTAAAGTTAAGTAGAGTTTATCTTGATCCTCCTTTTATCTTTGGCAGTGAAATAGCTGCTTTTGCAGCTGTTTTTTCTCATGCAGGACAATCAGTTTTGCAGACAGTGGCCCAGCATTGAGGCATTGATGGCATTGCTACTCCTGCTGGTGCCTGACGCTCCTGGCACTTGCTGGGTCCTGGGCACGGCTCTGGGTGCCTTACTGTACTCAGGCATTCGGCCCCCTCAGAACAGCTGGGGGAGCAGGTGTTTACCCCACTTACAGGCGAGGCTACCTATTCTCACAGATCACAAATTGCATAGCTTACACAGCATAAGGCTGAAGTTGGAATCCAGCTGTCCAAGACCTGAGCTTTAGAGTTTTGTTTTGATAGAAAACTCATACAACAGCCATATGGTTGACAGTAAAAATTAAGCAAACCCTCACCATCCAGATATTTCTATGATTGACATTAGATCATTTCTCAGCTGTCTTTTTGTATTGGTAATTTTTATCAGTGGGATTAGGGTTCCTTATAACATGTTGTTTTTGTTTGATAGTATAATGTCTCTGGGGATGTTTGTATAATCAAAGCAGAGAATTAGACATTTACTTACCTTTTCTAACATAATATTCAAACACTTCGCTGCTTTGGGTGACATTTGGTACTCCCACAAACTCATTACTGTAATTTGACACATTTACCATCTCAATGTAAAACAGCAGTGGGAAACATCAGTTGACCATACTGCTAATTATAATTGCTTTCCTACAATTTGAGGATTGGAGGTTGCAGATATTTGTGACGGCATTAAGATACTGTAACTTTTTTTGTGCGGTACTGGGAGTAGAATCCAGGGCTGTGCACCTCCTCGGTGAGCACTCTGCTATTGGGCTCCTCCCGTAGGCCCTAGTTTGCTCAGTTTTGAAAAGATCCGTGTTTCATGTACAAGGCGTGGTGGCCCTATGGTAGTGGTGCTCTTCCTTTATCCTTCTGGGAAGGGGGATTTAATGTTGCATAATAATCTCAGGTGCATGTTCTAGAGTCTGGATTTGTGGAAAGTGTGTGAGCCGTATCCACGGGCCTTTGGCTTGTCAGATCCTGCTGGCCTCTAAAGCCCCATTTGGTTATCCTCGGCTGGCCCTGCTCATGGGCTTTAACGGAGTCTCATCTCTCCAGTGATGGCAATATTTCATTTGTTTTGGCAGCTTGTTGTCGGCTTTAATGGTGCTTATAATGACGCTGCCTAATGTTTGAGTTAAAAATAAGCTCCCTGCTGCTGCTGGTGCCTACTGCTGTTAGTTCTGTCTCATTAGATATCGCAGCCAAGTGGACTGTCTCAGCCCTGCCTGTCTCCATGGAATCTGCTACTGCTCTCCTCAGTTCTGTAATTTTAAACGGTGTCTTTGGTTTACGCAGTGATAGTATAAAGACACAGGTTTCTGTGCCCTCGGAGAGGACCGACACTTGGCACCTCCCATGCCCAGTGCGATGGCAGGAACCTGTGTTTTGTATTCAAGGTCGCAGCTCTTGGAGAGCTGCTTCCCTCCAGCGCTGCAGGTGTGAAAGAGTCCTTCTCTTTCTCCGTGTGTCAGAGGCACTCAGTCTTGACGCATGAGCTCCCTAACTTACTCTTTCAGTGTCTCAATGGTAACCCAGAGAATGTCTTTACAAAATAGTGTTTTTAAAAATTAACCGTCTTGTCTTCGATTAACCTTGGATCCTGCAGCCTGACATTTCTCAGACCTGTGAGTTCAGTGTGTAGCTGCTTGGCCAGGTAGGAGGATGCCCAGGAATCGCACTCACAGGGGTCTCAGCGCAGAGGAGGGGCTTATCTGCCCAGCTCCGCCCTTCAATCGCCATTGGCCAGGACCTGTGATGGGCAGTGGAGACTTCTGCTCTCAGGCTCAAGCCTGGGGTCCCCAGCTGGCTCCCTTTGGACTTCCTTCTTTGTTTTGTCGTTTAGTCTGGGGTGGTGTAACATCTTCATTGCTAGCAGAAGTGTCTCATCACACATGAAATGTAAGCAATAACCTCCTGGGTCCCCATATCTAGCAATAATGGTGGCCGTCGAGCAAAATGATAATAATGCTGGTTTGAAGATTTGTGTAGCAAACTATATAACTTATTATTGCTATCCTTTTTGGTATTTAGCAAATTAGTAAGGCATTGAATTTAAGAAAGAAATACCAAAAACAAACTGAATAACACTATATTGGCTGAGTAAGCAGCTTTTATCCAAAATGTCATGAGCTATTGTAGAATCCTAAGTAGAGTCATAAGGCAAGAAATGCAGTCTTCGTTTTCTAGATGTGTGCTTTCAAACCATCCTGATTCCACTTTAAAACACAATCCCAATCCATATAACTCCATTATGTCAGGATCCTGGAAAAATTTCACACTTCATTCTTTTGTTCTGATTCACGAAGGCAATATTGTTCCAAGACTCTAACGGAAAGCTTTTCATATTGAAGTACATTATTGTACTGCTTTGTATCATTTGGCTAAACTCAGTTGCATAGTTTTTTGTCTTTCTCAGTCGACTACCTGAGTCTTGATGTTTGTATTACGACCTTTTCATTTCAAGTGAACCATAGTTAGGTGCCACACAGACTGTTAGCTCTGTTGTTGGAATAAAAACTCTCAGCTACTCCACCAGCACATCTGAAGCTGGTAAGACTGACTTCTGAAATCAAACTTTATTTATGCTCTTTGAAAGAGTAAAATCAGAAAGCACACATGTGGCGTAATAAGTGTTCTCTCTTCCCCAGTGTTGAGCAAGAATATTGTGGGGTAGTGGTAAAAGGAACAGAACGAAGAGTTATGTATTGAGTTATGTAATTTTTCACCAGCATTCTTTTTGGTATTTAAAAAAACCTGATAAAACTTTGAAAATGAAAAAAAAATCCTAAGAAAAGTTGAGTAACCCTGTATGGGCATGAGTAAGCTGATTTAATCCAGAGCTTTGTAGAATTTTAAGTATAACTTTAAACAAGACTGGAAAAGGCAGAATAACATTATTGTCCTGAAATCAGCACATGTGACTGCATGTATGCCAGAGTGTACAAATTTTTAAAATATTTCCACTTTAAAATGATCACACTTGCAGGGCTGGGGGTCTAGCTCCGGGGGCAGTGCTACCCAAGCACACACCAGGCCCTGATTTCGATACCCAGCACTGAAAACAAAATCATGCTTACAGAAAAGTTACAAAATAGGGGACTGCTAGCTGTGTGGTGCTGTTTCAGGCTGAAGGTGTGGGGTCTGCTGGGATGGAGAGGCCACTGGCCACCTGGGTAAACAATTACAGGCCACTCCAGCAGCTCAGGGCCAGGGATGGCCCAGCTGAGAGTGGGCAGATCACTTCCATGGCTCCGCTGACGTGGCATGAGGCTGAGCTGAGTCGAGAGGTAAACACTTGGGTGGCCTGTGCAAGAGGAGCTGAGAAGCCATGGTGGCAGGAGTAGGGTGGTGGAGGAGGAGGTGTCTGCTCACTGCAGAGGACAGCCTTGTCCAGCCTAAAGCTGTCTTTGCACTTCTCCTTCCTAGCTCCTTTCACTATGCTGGACTTTTCTGCCATCCAGGAAGTTCCATCCAACACAAATTTTGTGTTACGAGTGGACAGATAATGTTTGACAAACTGTGGCTTT